AATTAATCATTATATTTTTATTTTATTAGATAAAAAAATTAGATTTACTAAAATTAAATAGAAGGATTAAATAATTAAAGTAGATAGTAATTATAAATTTACACTAATTTTTTATGAGTATATGGTAATTTCTTCTCCTTAAATCTATTATAGGTAAAGAACTGAGAAAAATAATTTATGTGAATTTAAAGCACTAAATTATCAATATAATATTACTTTTGATGTTGTAGTAATTATTGTTTGGGCCATTTTAGGCAGCGACAAGTTTTTTTTTTAATTAATTTTTGTAAATTTAATAAATTTAAGTAATGTTGTTTAAGACATATATTGTAATTATTATATAAAAAATTATTTTAATTCTATTAACCATCTAATTAAAGTACTTTACATAATATTGATATTAAAAATAAAATTTACATTTTTAATTTTTTATATAAATTAATAATAAGAATATTTAAAAAATAAACTTAAAAAAAAATCTTAATATAAATTACTAATTAGTACCAACTCAACAATGATGTTGGATAAAAAAAAAAAAAAACCACCTTATTGTCATATACATTGAAGGGCTAATTTGTGTTTGTTTTTAATTGAGGGATTGATTTGCCACCATTCACTGAGTATAGGGGCTGATTTGCCTTCTTACCTTTTTTTTATAAGATTTGAATCATTGTTTTGAAAACCAGATTGGACCAATCGATCGAACCGATCAAATTGATGTCTGATATTATAAATGGTTCGGGTGAGTATTTAAAAGCAATGAAACGATTAAACCATTTAAAACAAACAAAATCATCCAAACCAATACAAACTACTAAACCATTCAATTGGCCGATTTAAAGTTATTGGAAAATTTTCTTTGATTGCCACCTCCATGGTTTGAACGCAGGACCTAGAAAAGATATTCTCAGCTTTATGTCACAAGGACATCACCTCCACTTTGATATGACTAGCTCAAAATTTTATTTATTTTATTTTTAGTCAGCTGAATTTCCTAAATTGAGTTCCTCACCTAATGTAAAGACAATATCATTGACTTTCATGTTAAAATTAATATA